TGCTGAGATTCAGGAAGATCGAACAAACTGATCTTGTCTACATCTACATCACGTACGATTCCATCGCCAAGTTCTCCCCTCGATTGTCAGCAGACGGACACATTTTGGTCCAAGAAACAATTCCATTCGAATCATTCGATGCAGTTTGGTACTACGATTGTAAGGAAAAGGACTACTACCGTCTTATGATCACGAAGGGAAAAGATCAGCTCGTGCTTTCTGTACAAGGAGCAAGGAGGGTAGCCACCATTGAACGATTTGACAAACTCATTGGGAACATTGTGCCTGATGAATCATCACCCGATCTGAACGAACTTCGAAAGCTTGTCGATATCAAGACCGGTCACTTCAGTCATGCTCACAGATTGTTCCCTGGACATCCGGATTGGAATGATGCAATATCATTGTTAGCAGTCACTCATCATCCCAGCAAGGAGGACCATCGACTATGCCCCGCATGTCTGATGGAGACCCCTGCACCACTATCGATTTGTGTGATGTGCAAAGGATTTTTGGTGAGTCATGGATGGAGGAAACGAATCAAGATCACCGTGGCTACAGTACCAAGCGCCGAATCACATCATCGAGGAGAGGATCTCAAAGACCATGTCAAGAAAGCATGGGAGGAGGTGAAGATCGATTTGACAGGTGATGGTGATGATGACGAGATGATGCCAGACGATGATGACGTCAACATGAAGAGTCCAGAACAAGAACCTCAACCAGAAGAGGGAGATGATGACCAAGCCTCGAAGAAGGGCGACATCAACGATGAGAAAAGAGACTTCAGAGAACAAGATGAGGTCGACAAGTTTCTCAACCAAGAAGGAAAACCGACCGACGAGAATGACGATGAAGAGATAGCGGTCGATGAAATCAACATTGAAGAATATGAGGCTGGAGAAGCTCGTGATGCAGTGATTGAGTACCCCAAGTGGATGAAGCGGATTGAGTTTGGATCAAAGGTCCTACCAATCGAGCCTTGCACAATTGGAGATGCTCAGCCGGAGCTCATCAAGATCCTCCTGTTGCAGATTGGATTACATATCGTCAGGATCTACAGACTATTCCAACGGAACTTCTGTGGAGACATCGAGACGGCATGGAAACACTTTCAACAGAACCAGAAATTCAGGATGGACCTGGACTCAAGAGTGCCTTACCTAGGCGAGGATGAGAATGGTGAACTCATTGAACCAACTGCACAACAGATGAAAGAGCTCTACAAAGAGATCGGCCGACCAAATCAAAAGGACGACATCGGAGAAGAGGGATTCGTCAATGCATACTATGGGGCAGTGGTACTCAAAAGACTTCTCATATACACCCTTGAATGTGGCTACACGTATGATGACTTACAAAATATCTTCTTTGAGGAGGAGATGGAGAAGCTGTCGAAACGTGACACAACGATGGATGAGATGAGAAAGACCACAGCGGCCCGCGACGCCCTTGACCGACAAGACGTCATGGTCAGAAGAATCATTGCAGGTGCATACAGGGTGAATGCTGTTTATTTCTTCAGGAACGTCGACTTTCAAGACACAATCACACTGAACCCAGTTGACATTGTGTGTGCTCTTCGTCCCGCACTTCGAAGAATATCACTTTTACACCTGATCCTTCAAAATGGCCGACAATTGCCACGACCTCTACTCCAGAAGCTGTATGATGCGATCGATGACTACAACCACATCAAGCAGCGGGACGATCAACGGCCAAGATGGGGCATCCACATGTCTGACGCTCACATACTTGCGATTGCTGATACCCCAACTCCTGCTGATCGTGAACGTGCTAACCCAGCCGCTGGCAAATCGAAAGCAGCCCCGAAAGCAGCAACAGCACTGGGCAGGGTGTCAAAAGCGAAAGCATCATCGTCAGCAACTTGGAGAACAGTTGAAACCGCTCCTCCGCCAAAACAAGCTCCAGTAACCCCGCCACAGAAAGGTGGAAAAGACAAAGGGAAAGGTGGAAGATCTTATTCGCATCGTGGTGGCGACTGGAACCAACAGGGATACGATGGATGGGGATATAGATGATGAATCGATATGACCTCTGCATAGGTCCTGATTGAACCTGGCGATGCGAGGATGCAATCATTGCTCGAGATTTACCTCTACTTCATTTCGAATGATTTCTGAGAGGACTCTGAGCCGGCTAATTTAGGACCACACATTTTTTTTGAACATCATTGCGCGAGACGCTGAGTTTCTACAGCGGTCTACATCTCAACCGACGAAGGAACGGGAAGGTGAACTTCTAGTTCCATAGTCAACTTTGTGTTTTGATTTCTTTAATTCACATGCTTGAGTGGGATTCCATGCTGGCTACGCCACATCGGATGAACCTCAATGCTAGACACCGACTACGTCGTGTCTACGTGCACGTGAACAGAACCTTTTATCTTTTGGTAGAGATCGTAGCAAGCCGCCATGTAGATGTAAAGTTCTGAACGGACTTTAGCTCTCCATAATTCAATAAATGAACAGCTGCAAATATAGTGGATCAATTCAAGGGACACTCCTTTGCGCGTAGCCAACAAAGTGGGCTATGCGTGGGGGGTGCGAATAGAGTGTAGGCTACGTACGATTGTATATTCACATATAATTCGACACTCTAGGATCCATTGCCAAAGGGGTATTTCAAACTGGCCTCTTTGGCTCAAGACCCACTGCAGCACCAGAGCAAAGAACTGCCATGCGGAAGCCGCCATCCGAGTGAAGTCGTCACCGAAGCACTTACTTCAACCCCAAGTACCAGGATATAATCGGACAGGCAATCCCCGTTTCGCATTATATACATATATACATGTACATATATGTATATGTATATATATATATATTTGTATATGATATATATATACATATATGTATATATATATACATGTATAATATATTCATAATATATATATATATGTATATGTATGTATATATATACATATGTATGTAATAAATGTATATAACACATGTATATATAGAGTACCCCAACAAAGATAGAAGATGTTGAGATTTTTTCTTTTCGATCTTGGGGACGACCAGATACCTTCCAGTAATCAGCTAGGTGGCTAGCTGGGAAATCACCCCATTTGACCTCACCATAGACTGGGATTGGGGCTTCATTCCTCATAGATGGTCGCTTTAGAAATCAAAAAACGTTTAGGAAATATAGCTGAAGAATTTCCAGAATCAGTTTTTTTTTAGCCAGATATCTATTGATATTACATATAGTAATATATAGTCATCTTCATTTCCCAGATATTTCTGAGCCATTGATCATCCATGGGGTCATGGGGATTCAAGCATTTCTGAATTGATTGGGTTAGAAGTTAGAATATTCTACAAACGGCAGTGAATGGAATGGCTAAGTTGGTGCAAATAACTCCAAAACTCCAATAGCTAGCAGCTAGGGCTTTTCTTGGTGGTGACTGCAACATGAATGGATTATGACTTTCCAGAAACAGTTGGGAATTTCATCATCCCAACCAGCTAGGGGATGACTAAATTGATGAATCGTTGGTAGTGGGATCTCTGTATGGGGGGGGAATCCCCAAAGAATGTAAGAGGGGTGGTGCTATGGATGGCTATGGTTGACATTATTTTTGGATCATGATCTTAAGAATTTCAACTGATTTCAATTTACTTTCAATCGATTTTCCGTTTAAACCTTCAAGAAATCAATAAGAAAAGATTTCATTTGAAATCAATTGCTTTCAATTGATTTTCCTTTTAAGTTTAAAAACCTAAATCTGAGGACAGATAAGTAAGGACTTCGATAGATATCCATCTATTTTCAATTACTTTTCCTTTATAATCACAAGACATCTAAGGATACGTAAGATTTTCATTTCATGTCAATCTACTTAGAAATCCCTTAAAATTAACATAGAATAGAAAATACATAGAAATCCCATAGGAATGCCTTGGAAAGGCTAAGTTGGTTTATAACTACATTAACTATGCTTTGTGGTAGATAGATCATGATATATCTATACAAGCTGGTGCCCCCCCCTCAGTTCTAAATTGGCTACAAACCCATTCAATATAGATATATCATGATATATCACCTTAATAAACCATAGTGAAATTGGAGTTATTTAGGCACCAACAGAAAGCTATCGACCGGGGGCACCACCTTTTTGATACGAATTTGGGTCCTGGGATGCACCCCACAAGGGCCATGGGTACAGCAGCTTTCCAGCGATGGGTTGATAACTTGGGATACCACGGGATGATTAGTTTAGGAATTCCCAATGAAAACTTGGATGTGAAGTGAATTGAATATATTGAATGCTGTGAATACACTGAAGTTGATGGCTTCTGTTGGTGTTTCTTAAGATCTCACTGAACCATTTTGATCACCTGTTGGTTCATGTTGGACTTCCATCTTCCGAAACAGCCTCGAAGTTGGAACATGGCGAGAGATTCGTGACTTCTTAGTGAGAGGAAACACCTAAAGAATATACCATCTGGTTATTTAACATAGCCATGGAAAATCACCATTGTTCATAGGTAAACCATCTATAAATGGGCCATTTTCCATGGCTATGTTTGGTAATCTCATGTAGCTATGCAGCTATGGCCTGGTAGATGATTTACTGGAACGCGGCCACAAACTTCAATGGGAATAAAAAAGGATCCAATTTATTATGGAGGTACGTAAACGTACCATATTTCTGGCCATATTTTGGGGGGATGTTCCCTGAAATTTAGGCCTGATACATAGGCCTTATATATGGTATACGTGCCTCCAATCGATCGGGAACCCCATGGAGAGTTCGGGGATTTCCCGGCGGTAGTGCCAACTACTTGAATGAAAAAAAAAGATCATCGCTATAGTTACATTCATTGTATCCAATTAATCCCATATATAAATCTCATTAATCCATATATATATATATATTATATATATCCCGTATAATTACATAAATTATCCCATTTTCATTGATTATTCCTATATCCCCATGATCCACTTTTCCTCCAGACAACGCCTCGGCTCAGGTGGACGAGGCGCTGCTGGAGAACGTGCTGTTAGCCTTCGCGGCGAAGAATCCGAAGATCGGCTACTGTCGCTTGTTCGGAGAACTGTAACAGGAAGATGACAATCAGCTGTTGTATATTAATATATGTATATGTATATATATATACGTATATATATATATGTATATATAAATATATATATATGTATATTTCTGTACAGATATATGATAGATCATTATAATAGATGGATTCAATACAGTATAGTGGACTTATATGCATATTGCAATGGGAATGTAACGGATTATATATAATGTATTTGACAATCATATATATATATACACACATTCCAGCTAGCCATGATTGATTACCGGAAGGTAGAATATGATGGTGTTTATATACTCTATTTATAGTATATTATATAGTAGATATACTGTCAATAATGGTTATTATATGATTATCTTATGGTCAATGATGGTTATATAATGATGGTAAATCATGGTTAATGATGGTGTTATATTTTTTAAAGGGATATTAGTTATTGTATTATTGTATTATTCATGGTTAATGATGGTGTTTAAATACTATATATATATAGTATAGTAGATGGTGTAGTTTGTTAACACTATTTATGACTGCAAACCCAATGATTTCCAACCATTTTTCAATGGGATTGTTATCCTATCGTTGGATGGTAATCCAGAAAATGTCCCGAACACAGAGTCTTTGCCGGTGATCACGAAAGGTAGCTCCAGAGGGGCTACCTTGAGTTTTACTTTACGAAGTAAAGGGGAGGGCGGCCAGCCCCGTTACCTGATTCTTCAGGAGATTGCTAGTCATTTTAGTCCCCCCCCCCTCCACACCTCCCACGCACCCTAAGAGCAGACTCAAAACATTGTAATTTACAGTATTTTTGTTCTTTTCGGATCAAGAAACCACATTTTGCTACATGGTGAAACCTCCGTAAATACCAGTGTTTTTGCTAGGTGCTGGCCAAAAAACACTGTAAATACCGTGCTTTTTACTACCAGAGGCAAAAAACATCGTAAATACTGTGGTTTTGGGCTTCCGACCCGCCAAAAACATCGGTATTTACGGTGTTTTTTGCTCCGAGAGTTGCAAAAACACGCGAAAACACCACCGATTTGACGATTTTCGGCCACTACGGAACCGAGCAAAAACGCTGCAGGGGTAACACCAACACCAACAACAACAACACCAACAGCAACAGCAACAGCAACAACAACGACGACGACAACAACAACAACAACAACACCAACACACAACGCACAAGGCACAACGCACAACGCACAATGCACAACGCACAACGCACAATGCACAACGCACAACACACAACACACAAAACACACAACACACACACACACACACACAACACACACAACACACACACAACAACACACAACAACACACAACAACACACACACACAACAACACACAACAACACACAACAACACACAACAACACACCACAACACACAACAACACACAACAACACACGCAACACACAACAACAACAACAACAACACACAACAACACACAACAACACACAACAACACACAACAACACACACAACACACACAACAACACAACACACACCACACACACACACACAACAACACACACAACAACACACAACAACACACAACAACACACCACAACACACCACAACACAACACACAACAACACACAACAACACACAACAACACACAACAACACACAACAACACACAACAACACACAACAACACACAACAACACACAACAACACACAACAACACACAACAACACACAACAACACACAACAACACACAACAACACACAACAACACACAACAACACACAACAACACACAACAACACACAACAACACACAACACACAACAACACACAACAAACACACAACAACACACAACAACACACAACAACACACAACAACACACAACACACACAACAACAACAACACAACAACACACAACAACACACAACAACACACAACAACACACAACAACACACAACAACACACAACAACACACAACAACACACAACACACACAACAACAACAACAACAACAACACGAACACAAACAATACCAACACCAACAACACGACCAACAACACCAACACCACCAACAAACCCAACCACACCAACAACACTAACAACACTAACAACACCAGAAACACTACCACACCACCAACAACACCAACAACACAATACACAACCAACACCAACAACACACCAACACCACCAGCACCACCAACACCACCAACACCACAACCACCACCAACCCCAACCACATCGCCGAAGCCTTTCAGTCGCTTTTACCAGACTCCCCTTCATATTTTTGGAAAGAAAATGGCCGCGTCGCTTTTACCAGACTCCACTTTATGTATTTTTCCCTCCCCTCTCCCCTTCATTTTTTCTTCGGTTCCTTTCTTGCTTACCTACCTTTCGTGTTCCCCCTCTCAAGTCATTTTTTCAAAGATGTTGCCTATATTATGATTGTGTTACAGTATTGTGGAAGGAAATTTAGAAGTCAAACTTCCGACAATATGGACAGATGAAAAGCAGAGCAGGGAAGAGGCAGCGAGAAGAGAAAGATTAGAAGAAAGAAGAGTAGAAGAGAAAGAGTAAGAAGAAAGAAGATGCAGATGCGAGAAAAGGTAGGAAAGTCTCGAAACACTGCGTTTTTCCAACGATTTGGGGCTCCGGAGGGTCGAAAAGTAGGCTCGCTAAAGCGGCGGGTGCGGAGCCAGCTGGCCAGATGAGAGATGAAAAATTGCACGCCGTTGTGGCGCGAAGCACATTTCCAAGTCAAAATGTACAAAACACACCATGGTCGGACCACTTTTGGAAGTTGAGATGTCGAAAAAGTGCACGCCGTTGTGGCGCGAAGCACATTTCCAAGTCAAAATGTACAAAACACACCATGTTCGGACCACTTTTGGAGGTTCAGATGTCGAAAAAGTGCACGCCGTTGTGGCGCGAAGCACATTTCGAAGTCAACATGTTAAAAACACCCGGGGTTCGGACCACTTTTGGAGGTTAAGATGTCGCTTCACTACAATACACTACATTACACTACACTACACTACACTCCACTACACTCCACTACACTCCACTACACTAAATTACACTACACTACACTACACTACATTACACTACACAACTACACTACACTACAACTACACCTACGACTACACAACTACACTCCACTACACGAAATTACACTACACTACACCACACTACATTACACTGAATGACACTGCAACCACAGATAGACAGGTAGAAAGATAGATAGATAGATAGACAGATAGACAGGTAGACAGCTAGACAGACAGATAGACAGATGAAAGAGAGAAAGAGAGAGAGAGAGAGATAGATAGATAGATCGATAGATAGACAGATAGATAGATAGATAGGTAATTAGATGAGAGAGAGAGATAGATCGATAGATAGATAGATAAATAGAAGATAGATAGGTAGGTAGGTAGATAGTCAGAGAAAGAGAGAGAGAAAGAGTGAAAGAGATCAATCACCTTTCAGTCCATCAGTGGATTCGCTCTGCCATCCCGGATTCACAACAACCAACCTCTCCTATAAGTTTCCTATTTTTGAAACTTCCGCCACCGCCTCGTGCGGTACTACTGGTATATCATAATGTATATTTAGTAGAATGAGACTGTGTTTAGTGTATTATGTTTGTGTTTATATTGTATGTAGATATTGTAGTAGAGTATGTTGACAATGTTTATGCTATGGTTTTATTATTGGTATGTTTAGCAATGATGCCCTGGTAGTTTTTGCAGGACAGGGGTATGAAATCAAGCCTTTTTTATATATATATATATATGGTGACATTTGTTGGGATACAGCGAAGTAGACTGGAATATACCGGGATATAACACATACTTGGTGGTTCATCTCACTTACTAAGTGGCTTATAGTCCCAGTTATAAGTTGGATAAGTAGGCTTAATCCACTCAAAAAACTGGGGTGATAACTCCATTATAACTGGGGTGAAGCAACAAAGTAATCTATTCATTTAGTTCCCAGATTTCAGCCGGTCAGACGCTACTTTGGATTGGGGAAAAAATCATTGGCTGAATCCTCAGAATCAGAATGGTGAACCAGAAAATGGCCATGTTGTTATGGTTATATGACCACAATGGTTATTATATGATGGTTAATCTTTGTTTAATCTATGGTTAATCTATGGTTAATAATGGTTCATAATTGGAATAACAATATATCTGGTTGGTGGTTTTCGAGCATGGTTTATTTGACTTTGCATATATATATATATATTGGGAATAATTATCCCAACTGACTAATATTTTTCAGAGGGGTGGCTCAACCACCAACCAGTTATTATATGATGACGTTTTATTCAGAATGGTTATTATGGTCTTTATGTTACCCTCTGGTAAACTAACATAACCATGGAAAATCACCATTTTTCATAGGTAAATCAACTGTAAATGGCCATTTTCAATAGCTATGTTAGTTTACCAGAGGGTATGTCGAATGGAATTTCAGGACCTAAAATGGAACTATACTATTTTTGGCCGTGGGGATCCCTGAAATTGAGCCCCTTTCATCATAGGCCAAAATGACATGGAATCGGTACCTCCAATGTTTATCGGTTCCTGAAAATCATTCGCTTAAGATCCGTCATCAACCTGATTGGTGGTTTGGAACAATTTTTTTTCTATATATTGGGAATTTCATCATCCCAACTGACGAACTCCATCATTTTTCAGAGGGGTGGCTCAATCACCAACCAGCGACTAATGTTTTTTAGGGATAGTTTGTTGACTTCCCAACATATCCAACTAGTTCGATTAATATCACCTCGAAAAAATATAAACCATGGTATATATACTCATCGTTTTTTTGTTGACTTCCCGAACTAGTTCGAAAATGTTCGATATATCGACAAAAACCATTCAGAATTCACGCCTTTTGTGTTCGCCACCCGGCCTTAGATGAAGGAACTTTTGGAAAAACCGGATTTCGCCCAGATTTCGCCATGACTTTGACCGACATTTTTTTCGGATTTTTCGCCAAAGGAAAATGACACAAAAACAGATTTGAAAACTAACAGAAATGATGGGTAAAAAATGGGAAAACTAACCATGACACACTCAGATATTGCTAGAACTAGCGATTCCTTTTGTGACCGTAAGTGGGTGAAAGAAACCTCGAAAAGTGGGATGTATTGGGATGTATTGGGTCATGAAAAACGCCCCAGTGGCCCTAACCACGAATCGCTACTTCTGACAACATCTGTGCAATCATTAAGCAAGGGAGTTAAGATGGGTTGAAGACGGGGTTTGAATGAAAACCATGTTGACGCCAAGGAAATTGGGGATTCAAACAGCCATCATGATTACAGTAATTAGTAAGGGTGTCGGTCGATGCCAAATCTGGCTATAGAGAAATATGTTCAAAAGTGTTTCGAGAATGTGAACAAGATGGTCTGGACCAGAGAATTTACCTACAGATTTCCAACTTTTCTATTTTTGGCTTGCCATAACCCAAAATTGGGTAGTTCAATCGTCTTACCAATTTAGCTAAGCATAGCTAAGCTAAATCATCGACAAATATCCATCATTGTCGGGTAATCCACATTTTTCATGGTTAAACACCAACATAACTTGGCGATTTCCGGCAGCATATCGCCAAGGTCAGTCAATGAGTTTTGTGGCCGCTACACTGTTGATGTACATGGAGGAGGCATGGAGCTTGAAAGCTGGTAAAAATAACCGGATGGGGCCCCCAGTCGTTGTTGCGTTCAGTTGCCTGATAAGTGGCGGAAAAAACGATGGTTTATGGTAGATATAACGAACTAGTTAATTAATATTTAACTCCAACAACCAATAAATAACTATGATTATAACACTTCTAGCTATACCTAATGCTTAATGGATGTTAATGAGGTTTATAAACCAACGTTCACATCACTGAGGGCCCCGTCCTGTAATTGGTGAATTGGTACTTCTACCGAGTCGTTTTTTTGAATTTAACGTTCACCAAACTAAGGATTTTACCACGATTTCACGCCTCCAAAACTGGTTGATGTGTGTTTATATTTTGATTACTCTTAGTTTAAGCTTGGAGGATTAAGAATCAACACTTAATAACACTTAGACACCCTATGATTCGATTATGTTGATCGTCCCACAAGTGGACTTAGTCACAAGTCGACGATGTCATGGGAGGAGTCCGCTTTCTGGACCCTCTGCGGCTTGCTTGAAGACATCTTGCCAGAGGAACCAGGGCACGGTGCCGGGGCACGTCTGAGTAAACGTGGCGAGAATCCGAACGTCCGGGAAAAGTATGGAAAAGTTTGGACAAAGTATGGACACATATGGAAAAGTATGGAAAAATGGGATTGTCAGATGAGTTTCCATACATTCTACTCCATATTTATCCTTATTATCGATCATCTACCCCCAGAAAAAGATGAATATAAGCCCACTAATATGTTTTTTCATGTGCTATGTATGATATAATATGACTATACATAGGTTCATTTTTCGTGGTCATGTTCATGTTATCTTTCCACCTGTCCAACACATTTCATCCATCCAAACGCCGGTCAATGGATTGGTTGAAGGGAAAATCTTAACAGGAAATCATGGTTTTTACCATCAAATATAGGGGTTTCCTGGGTTTCCTGTAAATTTTCCCATCATCCAATTCTGTGATTGCCCCATATGATTCTGTATCATGGAAAATCCCAATCAAGAATGGATGACGACTGGGATTACCCCCATGACTCAGGAAACCTCCGTTCCATCACCAGTTATAATCACTTATAACCACTTGTAACCCACTGAAATAACCATATAAGAACCATATAATAACCATATAATAACCATATAATAACCATATAATAGCCATATAATACCACTGAAATAACGATAACCAGTATAATAAGCATATAGCCATATAGCCATAGATATATAGCCATATAACCCACTTATAACCATATAATAACCATATAAATGGCCATAAGTGCAGGACTACTTCTCGGAGCGGATGTCCGGTCTGCGCGCGGACCTGCGGGTGCTGCAGAAGCTGCTGAGCGAGGAGATTCCGGAGCTGGCGGAACATTTGGATCTCCAAGGCGCGGCAAGAATGCGGGGAACATACGGTCAACGATGATTATGATATGGTTATTATATGGTTATGGTTATGATTATTATATGGTTATTATATGGTTATGGTTTTGGTTATGGTTATTGTATGGTTATGGTTATGATAATTATTTGGTTATGGTTATTATATGATTATGGTTATGGTTATTTTATGGTTATTATATGGTTATGGTTATGGTTATTACATGGTTATTATATGGTTATGGTTATGGTTATTTTATGGTTATTATATGGTTTTGGTTATGATGATTATATGGTTATTATATGGTTATGGTTATGGTTATTATATGGTTATTATATGGTTTTGGTTATGATGATTATATGGTTATTATATGGTTATGGTTATGGTTATTATATGGTTATTATATGGTTATGGTTATGGTTATTATATGGTTATTATATGGTTATGGTTATGATTATTATATGGTTATGGTTATGATTATGATATGGTTATTATATGGTTATGGTTATGATTATTATATGGTTATTATATGGTTATGGTTTTGGTTATGGTTATTGTATGGTTATGGTTATGGTTATGATAATTATTTGGTTATGGTTATTATATGATTATGGTTATGATTATTATAGGGTTATGATATGGTTATGGTTATGATTATTATATGGTTATTATATGGTTATGGTTATGATTATTATATGGTTATTTTTTGGTTCTGGTTATGGTTATTATATGGTTATTATATGGTTATGGTTATGATTATTATATGGTTATGGTTTTGGTTATGGTTATGATTATTATATGGTTATGGTTATGGTTATTTTATGGTTATTATATGGTTTTGGTTATGATTATTAAACGGTTATTATATGGTTATGGTTATGATTATTACATGGTTATTATATGGTTATGGTTATGGTTATTATATGGTTATTATATGGTTATGGTTATGGTTATTATATGGTTATGGTTATGGTTATGGTTATGGTTATTATATGATTAATAACCATCAATCTCAATAGTGGTTATTATATGGTTATGATTACTATATGGTTATTATATGGTTATGGTTATGATTATTATATAGTTATTATATGGTTATGGTTATGGTTATGGTTATGGTTATTATATGGTTATGGTTTTGGTTATGGTTATTATATGGTTGTGGTTATGGTTATGGTTATGGTTATTATATGATTAATTACCATCAATCTCAATAGTGGTTATTATATGGTTATGGTTATTATATGGTTAATGATGCTTAGTGATGGTTAACAATGGATGATCATGGGTTTCCATAGTCATGGGGGTACTCTCCATGATCTCTGAGCTATTCCAGTAAAATTGGATACTTGAGGCATGCAGGTATCATCCTGAATGTTAAGAATGTTGAGATCGATGGTTTGATAGCCAGTAGAGCAATCCTCAAGAGAAGTCGAAACTTACCATTGAATTTAGTGTTGGACAGTGTTTTTAGTACAGTATTGGACATTTTAGTATATATTGGATTTGATTTTTGTATTGGACGTATTTGCAAATGGCTGGTGCAAATTGCGCCCTGCCCTCTGAGTCCTGCGCCCCAGCAAGATGCTATTTGGGCGCGGGAGGCTACAGCATTGATTGAGGGCGGAAAAAAAAACAGGAATTTCTCACTTGAGTTTAAGTAAACAAAATCGGACGATGCATAATCAACGCACGATGCTGCAGTAAGAATCCAGACATGCACCGGTTTTTTCCCGGGGCTCTTTTGATTTCGTGGGCAAAATTATCTCAGGCCAGTGCCACTTGGCCACACCTTGCAGGCAGCAAATAAAGTTTCAGATTTTTGTGAACCTTGGAGGTCTATTTTAGAAACACCAAGCTGAACAATGGAAAGGAGAAAAGATTGCTAGGATTGCTAGGCTGGCGCTTCTTAAAATTAGGAGGAAGAGATTGGCTTGGCTTCACCAGGAGGCAAGCTGCTTTTCAACAGCCCAACAACAGCTTCTCCATGCGCGGAATCAAATTCCTCAAGTTTTTCGTGAGCTTCGCATGTCAATGTCTGCCATGGGTTCTTGTGAACAAGTTGAACTTGGGCAGCAAACAAAATCCCAAAAAACATCAACAAATGGAAATTATTACAAGTTGGTTTGTGGTTTCACATATTTCAAAGATGTGTAAACCCAAAAATAGATAGTAATAATTGACACCAAAATCACCTTAGATGGTATGCTTACCGTCCCCAAACGGTAGGTTTATGGCATCGGGCTCACTACATTAACGATTAAAAATCGTTGTTAATCCCCATGAATCCACCATTTGATCATTAGTCATCATTTTTCCTGGTGGGATTTCTTAACTTGTTGTACTATTAATCATTGAATCTCACCTCATTATTAATCATTAATCATTATTAATCATTTGAGCAAAAACTGTTGGGATTTTATTTTCCTCAGCTTTTTCGGGTGGTTTGTCACCAGCTCAACCCACCACCAGGGATCGACTTGTCCCCCATCACCGTGAACTGGTTCCTGTGCACCTTGGGCGGAATGGAGGACTCAATGGGGATGGGTCATTCCAAAGTGCTTACTGTAATATCCATATATATATATATATACACCCTCTGGTAAACTAACATAGCTATGGAAAATCACAATTTTCAATGGGAAAATCCACTATAAATCACCATTTTCAATAGCTATGTTAGTTTATCAGAGGGTATATATACATATACACACAACTATAAAATTACATATATCATGTATATATATAATAATATAATATTTATATATTTAGGCATGGATGATTATGTATGCACCATTCTTGCATTCTGCTATAGTATTTTCATCCTAATACTGTATATAGTGGTTTATTATTTAATGTAAGTAAAGTAACGATAAACCAACCCAAATTTACCATAAATGGATGGTATAAACCATCAAAATATGGGTGGTTTATGACATTGCTTTGCTAACATTGCTGTAATATATATATATATACACATTGTTTTGATTTCCATTACTCACTTTTGATGGTGAAATATGGTAAAATCTCAGACTTGGCTGGTGACAAAATCCAAAAACACAAAAACCATGGACCAATTTGGCTGGTTGATCAACCTGGCTCGATGATCAATACTGGAGCGGAACCCAAATTATGTTCTCTCTCCCTCTCTATGTATATACCCTCTGGTAAACATACAAAAAACTATGGACAATCACCATGTTCAATGGGTAAATCAACGAACTAAATGGCCATTTTCAACAACAAACTGTCAGTCATTACCAGAGGGTAAACATCCATTTTATACTGAATCTAGTTGTCTATGCCAACTTAGCTATCTAGAGGGGCGCCTTTTTCTGTACTAAAGAGATCCATAAATAACAAAACTATACGGTCCTCCAAAAGCCACGGGTGTGAACATTTTGGACCTGCAGTGAATATCCCTGAATCGGTGACTGATCCCCAACTTGTTCACTCATAAATCGCCTACCTTTCGGTAACATAGCGGAAATCCCCAATGGATATAGCTGGGATTTTCCGTTGTCATTTTGATTACTGAAGGGTATTTACCAAAAATCGAAAAAACATCTGGTGGATAAACAGCTGCGTGTAATTCTAGCACCCTCACTGGCCAGCATGATCGAAATGATGGCACATATGTTCCTGTTCAGATCCGTCCAGATCCCTATGAAAAACATGTTTCCCCGTTTTTTTTAAGCAAGGAAAAACAATGTATCCCTGACGTTTTACATGGGTTGATATCCAATTTTTCCACTAAAGGTGATAATTATCACTTGCCCAGATTAGATTAACTAATTAGCACCCTAAATATCGAATGAATCTTAAACCACTTTGCATTTTGCGAGAATTTGCCATTTACCATTCATCTTCAACATTCAATATACAAATTTGCAAGTTATCATCTCCCAATTGTTCCTACAAGGTGGTGCTTCCTCAGTTGTGTTTGCTTGTTAAAGAACCTGGCTGGGTATTTCGACAAAAATCCCGTAACCAAAGTTATTGGGGTTCTTGGCACCCACAGAAAGCTATCGTAAATCAACCATAGATCCCATCAAATCCCAATTTTTCTCGGCGAAATCACCATTTTTGCCAAGATTTTCTAGAAATTTGTCACTCGAGGCCTGTTTCTGAATACCCTCCCGGCAGACTGGTCCCACCGTGTCCTTGATTCAGCATCTGGGATCGCAGGCTATCGCAATATGAAAACCCCTGCAGTTGAGATTTTTGAGTGGCTGAATTCCATGGTTTATGGTAAAAGCGACCTGGTGAATGGGGTTAACGAACAAACATCACTGGGGGGCACCTGTATGAGAAATATCGCATTTAGTTTGATGATTTACCTATCAAAGATGATGGTTTCCAGTTCGAAAACTGTTAGTTTACCCGAGGTACTGCTCGGAACCGATGGATTTGTCTTTTCTTTGAAGATGTTTTATCTTGATTTTTGTTGGATCTCAGAAGTTATTTTGGTGGTCCCTAACTTGTTTGATGAATTTCGGGTCAATTTGCTGAAACCATTGCCCTCTGGTTTTTTCAAAATCCAGCAACACAAAAACATGTCTGACATGTGAGGAATTTCCATTGCCATGGTTGAGGGTGACAACACCCGGAGGGACTCGAACAAACAACTCGTATCCAACGTTGGGACATCGATTGAAACGGATCAAATCGGTCTGTCGAAGCTGTTTTCGGATGCGAATCAATCGCAGTCAATTGGAGATTTCCTGAAATAGGGGTACCCCATTGATCATCCATAGCTAGGGATTTTCCACTACCAGCGATAAAGGGGTACCCCCATGAGTGGAAAACCAAGGTTTAGCGGGGGATTGTAGAACCATCTGGGGCAAGCTGACTTCCACATCCATGGTGCTCTGTCTAAACGGGTGGTAAAAAAAGGACAATGCTTAAGGTTTTCAGTGGGTCACAATCCACATCATACTTCAAATATCTTCAAATCATAGTCATAGCTGGTTGGTGGTTTGGAACATTCTTTATTTTTCCATATATTGGGAATAATCATCCCAACTGACTTTAATATTTTTCAGAGGGGTTGAAACCACCAACCAGAGAGAATCTTATCTCATAAGGATCAAGAGTGACTATCAAACAACTATGATTCAAATATCACCCGCTTCATGGATTATCTAATCCTTTTTCGGCTGAAGGATTTGTTTCGATTCTGATCATTGTTTCCAAACAAGAAACCATCTAGTACATTGCATGTTCGCATTTTTTTTGGATTTCTCGCAGCCATCTCAAGAGTCGTCACATTTTGCCAACATGTGACTTGCCATTTTCATCACATGTGACTTGCAATTTTCACCGTTTTTTCCCACCAAACAACGGCCCAGCGTTTTAACCGAGCCCTCATCCCAGGTGCTTCACGAGGGCTCGGTGGTGCTTTTTCGGATGGCGCTGGGTATTCTGTGGCTGCGGAGGAAGGACCTCCTGTGACACGGCGAAAGGGATGAAAACCATAGGAACATGGTGATTTCAGCGAGAAGAATTGGGATTTGAATGGGACTTTTAGCTGATATTGATAGCTAAGTTGGTGGCAATAACTCCAATTTCACTATGGTTCATGGTAGATATACTGTATCACGAAAATGGTGACTTAATTGGATTTAAAGTTCACTTCACCAAGAAAAATGGTAGAACTAACAAACATGGGGATTTATAGCTGATTGATGTTGGCTAACTTGAGCTTTTGTCCATTTTTCTGATTTGAAACACCGACTTTGAGTTAGAAAACTAGCTTTAAGGTTTACTGGAAAGTCCGTACGTTTTCTTGTCCAAACAGGATGGACAAAAAGTCAGAAACATGTGGGATTTGCTGGGTATAGACGGTCTGACCGTCCGTGTAAAAATGGTGGAAATTTAATGTTAACATGGTATAGTTTGCCACCAAAAATGGGATAATGAAAAATGGGTTTACCAATTTCTGAAATGGGGGATGTGTTACTGTTGCAACAAAGTTGGAGGTTACAACTACCAGAACTAGGATTGAGTCTGGTTAGAATCCCTGGCACCTTGATACCATTGCATGGTGCTGAGAGAGCTACAAAAACTGGCTTGTGTTCTGGTGTCTTTTGAAGGTACCCTCTGGTAATTTAGCATAGCTATGGGACATGGCCCATTTAGTTCGGTGATTGACCTACTAAGACCTACTAGAAATGACAATTTTCCAGGTCGCTATGTTAGTCATTACCCTATCGGATAAGTACATCAGTCCCAGCCAAGTCATGGACCATGACATTTCGGGAATCCATAGTGACGACTGGCTTGATTTCATCAAGTGCAGCAAGCCAAAGCGAGAAAGTAATGCAAATGTTTGCAGATGATTGATACACTCTGGTAAACGTTTACATAGCTGTGGAAAGATCCACCATTTTTTTGGTAAATCCACTATTTCGACTGGGCCATCTTCAATAGCGAACTGTTAATTTACCAGAGGGTAACCATTGAGTTCGGAAGTTGAACAGCGGAGGTTTCCAGAAAATGCGGGATTCCCATTGTACCATGGGTTTCACTAGTAAGTCATGGTCTAATTTGGATGATTTGGGGGTACCACATGGTACCACCAGAATCAGCAAACTCCATCAAATGATTGAAAGGGGCGGTGAAAATACCAGTATCACTTGTAATTTGAAACACAAAGACTGCAGATTTTGAAGCTAGTTGCTCCCACCTTCTCCTTGACTTCCACCTGTCGGATAGGTAACCCATGGTAACCCCAGTTCATCATGTTGTAAAATCTCAAAACCCTTACCTATCCCAGAGCTAGTTGGAAGGTTAGGATTGCAGTAAATCTGAAAAGTCTTCGAATCCATGGGAGCAACCCAAATCATCGAAGTCATGGTGACCTCTGGGGATCCCCCATGACGAAACGCCCATCATGTCATGTTCCCGTGTGTTTTGACATGTTCAACCACCAAAATCGCAACAAGAAAGGCCAAACCAACAGGACATGTGACATGATTCACCTCGAGATGTCAGTCGACTGTCCATTGCTTTGTTAATCCTTATCCTTTCATTGGTTTATCAATGGGGATTGTTATGACCAAAAAAAAGTGATTCTGGGGATTGTTATGACATTCTATATCCTTTGAACATAATGCCACAATAGATTCAACACCCTTACACTACAAAGTCTAAAACTAAACCAAACCATACAGGTCCCAAAAATGAGGTACATCCCAAAGATTGTAACTTAACAAATTGAAAATGTTCATGATGACTATCTGTTGGAGTTGAGGGTACCCCATGTGCCCACAAAAAAATCCTGTTCTTTGGATAGTTGCATCCTCATAAACCTAGTAAACTTCAGGGTCTGAAGAGTGGCTTCCCAAATTTTCCACTTCAAATCGCCATTTAACGGGGCTATACCAGGGTCTCCAACTTCAGACACACATGGCACTGCCAAGTTGTATCAAGATCCATTTTCCCATGAGATCCCAATTCCCCAGTTAAATCACTAGTTTGTGTAAATGTCCATGATTTCCTCATCTTTCCCCATTCGTTGAAATTGGTTATCCTATTGTTCTTCCTATCTATCACCATAATTATATACAATTATATAGCAGAGTAGTGGATATTATCCCATTGTATCCTTGTATCCTCTATTATCACAATATTGCTAGTCATATCATGATATCCTCATGATATTTCCATTGAGCTGAGGATAAAGTTATGAAGAAATTGCTTCTTCCCAGAAAATATTCCCAGTTTTCATTAATGTCCATTACCCTCTGGTAAACTAACATACTGTAGCTATTGAAAATGGATATTTAGTTCGTTGTTTTACCCATCAAAAATGGTGGATCTTTCCACAGTTATGTAAACGTTTACCAAAGGGTAACCAACTATGACCATTTTCCTATGGTTTTCCTATGGTTTTCGCATGGTTTTCACCATTTTCCTATGGTTTTCCTATGGTTTTCATCCCTTTCGCAGCTGAGGTCCTGCTCCTCCCTGCCCGATGCCTTCAGCTTCCTACGGAGCCCCATGGCCGTCTCGGACGACGCGCCTGCGTTGGATGCGGCGGAACTGTGGGAGACCAGGGCGAGGGTCGACCGGGCTGAGAACGACGAGATTTGAGGACCTGAATTTTGGTAAGCCAGATATATCAGATTTTTTTAGCCAGATATCTATTGATCTTAGCATATATATAATAATATATATATAGCCTCTGGTTATTTGTTACATAGCGAACTGGACAATGGCCCATAGAAACAGATGATTTTCCCAGCTAGAAACCTCCATTTATAATGGATTTTCCATAGCTATGTTAAATAACCAGACGGTAACAATGATCAGACTTTTGTCTTTAAAATTTACATGTCTTTATAATGTTGGATGGAGAATAGTGGGTCATTAACCAACAAACAAGAGGAGATGGTAACAATTTCGGAGCTTTCCGTTTTGTCATGGGGGGTACCCCCAAAATCATCCAGTCATGGATGACCATGACTTAGTATAGGGTCAACAACCATGGCTACAATGGGGATCTTCGAAATCCCCATATGAGTTAAGAGTCAGAATGTGATCAGTAGATTGATGCTATGATACAGATAATGTCATATGGCTACTTACTGTAAATGTCAACTTCTCGCGGGCCTGGGCCTCTCGTTGTTTTTTCTCAAACCTCAGTTGGGGTTATGAATGGGTATAAGTAGGAAAACGGTGATTTCAATGGGATTTATAGCTGATTTATGTTGGCTAAGTTAGTTTATAACTCCAACAATTGTGGCTTATGGTAGAAATAAAATTATATATACTTAATGGGGATTATAAGCCAACAAACATAACTAGGGGTCACCACCTTGTAAGGGGAATCACCAGATTGGGTTCACCAACAAAGGTGGGGATGCAACAAAGGACAGTATTCAGTATTCAACACTTAGCTAGTAGGTGATGAGTAGCCCAGTATGGTAGTTGATACCCCACGAAATGGACAAGTTTTCTATCACCATTCGAGTAGATCCAGAAGTAGGGAAGTCACTCACCATAGTTTAGTGGATGTGCATCGAATCTTGAGCAAGAGGCTTCTGTTCACCACTTACTACCCATCTATCTAAAGCTTATATCATCTTGTTTTTCTATATATTCTTTCTTAGATATGAATGCCCATTTTATAGCAGCATTCTGGTGGCCAAACACGACAACCGGAGGATCGCTTAGATCTTGTGAGAATTTTCACAATGCAGTCCCTCCAAGAACTGGTATGTATTGGGATGTCCTTCATCTCAGCCACTCTGTCAACATCTAAGTACCGATAGAATGTCCATTCCAACTGAGTTAACAGCACCTCCAATACCTCCATTTCAATCATTGGGGATATGATGTGATATAAGCAACCATCACCAGCAATTCTATCTGTTGTACATGAAATAGGCCAGTTAAAACTGCACTTTGTAACCCACTTAAAAATGGGTTCATTAAATATTACGCAGAGTTCTATCACTGATATACATATATATATATCATAAATTTTGTAGAACTATGGTTATTAGTGGCCTGTAGTTGTCTTTGGGAATAAGATCAGCCGCATCCAGCCTCCATAGCGCCGTAGGAGCTGATGTTCGCCTCCTGGTTGAACGACCTCTCGAATCGCCTCCGCGTCTTACGGGCAGAGCAGTTGCGGCTGGTGCAGGCGTTGCTGATTGAGGAGAGACATCGATTCGATAGAAAATCCCTACTGGCTACAAATGGTGAATATGTGTATATATATATATACATATTATGTATAACAATGATAATCATGATCATAAGAACATGAATAATGATAATAATTATGTATAGACACATAGATTGTAAGTCAGTTGTAACCCCATTTATGGAATGATCAACCCATTAAGATCATGTCTACCAGACTGTGATTTGTGTTTCTCAAAATGGGGATTTGGAACCATGACTCAAGTCTTTTAAGCGTTTCGCAGGATTTCGCAAGCATCCCCAGTATGAACGGTTATCTGCTTGGTGATGACGGGAACATGGTTATTATATGATGGTTAATCTATGGTTAATCTATGGTTAATCTATGGTTAATCTATGGTTAATCTATGGTTAGTCTATGGTTAGTCTATGGTTAACAATGGTTAATAATTGGAATAAAAATATATATGGTTGGTGATTTGGAACATTTTTTCTATGACTTTCCATATATTGGGAATAATCATCCCAACTGACGAACTCATATTTTTCAGAGTGGTAGGTCAACCACCAACCAGATTAGTTTACAACCGATCGTAATCGGGATGATCTGGAAAATGTAGGTTACCGGGGGAAAGCCTCCCAAAGTGACCCAATATTTCAGTTTGGTGAATTAATCTCATTTGTTCAGAGTAATGGGATATGAACATGAATGGACATATAAGTTCATATAAGCTTGCAATAACCAAAAGACATGCGGATTAAAGCAATATTAGGCCGACCATAATAACCATCATATGGCTATATTGGTCCACATGTTTATTGATATTTCTATTGGGTATATCATATGGTTAATCCACCATTAAACTAGATAACTATATCGACATTTCTCATATTTGTTATTACAGTAACCTATTTCATAACTAAACTGTAAGATCAACCAAATTTTATCAAATTTTAACCATTTTGTTTGGAAACTAGAACCCTCCGGAAAATCACCATTTAGTCGATCATCCTAAATCATCTAAAAACATGGGCCGTTTTCCAGTTCGCTATGTTAGATAACCGGAGGATAAACCATCGAATCGGTTTTTTCGATTTGTTCACTTGATGGGATCTATGGATCTTGATCCCAAAAAGACTGTAGGATGGTAGGGTTTGAATCATTCTAATCCATCCCCATACTGTGGATGGTTGCAAAATCCTGTTGCTGGGAACAATAAAAGGTGCCTATGAAACTCTGTAAATCATGGGATTATAATGGGAAAACCATCTATCAACTGGTGCAGGATTTCGCAACCATCCCCAGTATGTCATATGCAGTAAGGGATATTCATCCCCCCAAAAAAACATGTGTTTTGTCGTCTCCAGGCGGAAGACGGTGAGCCAAGAAGGAAGATCCTGCCGTCGCCACTCGGCGGTCACAGCGGGGAAAAAATCTTGGTGATTTTTGACCAAGGAAAAATGGTGAGGGAAACAACGCTAAACTTACTCAAACGACTTTAGGCATGCTTGTCATGCACTTTGTTGATGTGTTTTCTTTTTCCATGCTTTTCCTGTCAGAATAGTTGTGATTCAACCATACATTTTCCATCCAATTCTGTCAATTCTGGCAATGACATATTTTCCAATTCAAACCTTGAGTTGCTTACGACTGGGGGATCTTGGGTGCACGTGAGGTTACGTGTATGGGTATAAGCATGGTTGTAAACCCCCATCAGTTGGAATATAACCCTCGCAACTAAGGTTATACATGTATATCTAATATATATATATATATATGTATTTAATATAATATATATAATATAATATATAATATATAATATATAATATATAATATAATATAACATGATATGATATGATATGATATATATAGTAATATATACTATAATATAAGATGGTATGTATAATAATATATATAATATAATTTATGTTTTATTATTATATATGATATAATATATTTGATATGTACATATATATATATATATGTAAAATATTATATATATATATGATATAATGTATATGTATATATATGATATAATGCATATATATATATATAATATTTTTATGTATACTAATTTAGTTCTTCGGAACTGCACTTCCAAGTGGAATATGCGTGTTTCTCCAACTTGGGATACCGATCATTTTTCCCATCAGTTAGCGACTTTGAATGATAGCTTCAGGTCTACCCAAGCTTTTTCCAGGTATATTGGCAAGCCGCAGGATATTGACTGGTATACATACATATACTGTATTATGTCCCCATTTATAGGGTGTTATAGCTGCTTAGATGTTCCCTTGAAGCTATTGATACCCCTAATAGCTCCCATATGATCATGGATCATTTATATGGCAACCCCCAAAAAGAGGCAGAACAATTTGACACCTCGAATTTCTTTGAAAACATGAAGGACGCTTTATCGAACTACTTTATCCTGCAATTTTTTTTCGGCATCTGGGGGTTTCTACATAGCCCCAAAAAGATGCAATGATGCAGAAAAGATCGGTTAAATGTCCAATCTAGAATATAGTAAGTAGAAATTAAAGCAATTCATCATTCGTTTTACAGTACCCTCTGGTAATTTAACATAGCTATTGAAAATGGCCATTTATAGTGAGTTTTCCCATTAAAAACGGTGATTTTCCATCGTTTTTTGTATGTTTACCAAAGGGTAAATCATGTTAAATACCCATTTTGAATCATTTTGAATGGTTAAATCACCAGTATTCAACCCACTACAAGAAGTCCCATTATCCCAGTCTATTCCCACGAAGTTCCCGCTACATCCCACTACTTGGCTGTGAACTACCCTTATTCGTTCTTTCGGTGGGATAATAAACCATCCGTGGGATGAAGCACCAAGAAAAAATATTCCATTTTATATTCATTATAAATGGATTATATATATATAGATAAATTATATAGATATATTTTATATTATACATATATATCTTATATTGTATATTTTTTATATTATATATTATGTTAAGTACAACACACTCTTGTGTGTATAACAGTTGTGCAATTGTATATTTGGTCATGCCAACATGGCATTCTGGTTCAACAGGCCTTGTGCCTGCCTGGAGTGACAACAGGTCCGAGCCCAACAGACAAAAGGCGCGCACTGCAACAGCAGAGACAACAGACTGCCGTGAATCTTTTCATGGCTATAGCGGAGCAGTGATCCTGGAAGCATCCAGGTGAGCTCCAAACAAACAACAGCAAGCAGCACTTGGGTAGCAGCCCAACACAACACAGACCACGAGCACAACAACAAAGGAGAGGAAACAATTTCAACAACAAACTGCGCGTGAAGGAAAGCAAGAGGGCTTGATCCCAACTCAAGAGTGTGGGGGACTCTCAACAAGAAATGGCAACAGGACACGACATAGGAACGCCTATGGCAGCAAATGAAGAAACAACAGAAGCACGCGCCTCAACACAC